GCTGTTCTGGAATCAGAATTAGGTAGTAGAGTACACTCACACTCTGTCTCAAATACAGTTGAATGGACTAACAAGGACTTCTGAAAAGATTCACCTAAGAGAAAAGAAGAAGACAGGTATAATGAAATGAATCTTTATAAGCTCAATAGAATTTGGCAATGCAGAAGGTCTTCTGAAGAGTCAGGTAAAAATAATATATTACATAATCAATTCAAACTTCAGAAACATTCTATCAGGATTTCCCATAGTTTGTCATGAGCCTTTCCAATTCGTTGAATAGGACTGGAGACAGACAAAAATAGCAACATTATGAAAATAATTCTAAAAATTTCTTTACTATGGAATTTCCCAAAGCCTTTAATGTGTTCAAGTGCACTGGAAATTAGCAGGCAGGGAATACTCTCTGCTGTACCATCTCTTACTTTTGGGGAATAGTAACTCCATGCAAACCCTATGCAGCTGGTGTTTTGTAGACGGCATTCTCAGTTCTAGATAAATCCTCTCTAATTAAAGAACAGGAAGAAAACCATTTCATGTATTCAGATTTTCATAGGCCGGCAGGTTCCAACCTGGTCCACACCAGCCCATTCCCAGTCTGTTTGCTCTATGGCAGGCCAATAATAGCACAATCTTCTCTAGCTAAGATCTGGCCCTTTTTTTTGGGGGGGGGGGACAGATGGTGACCAACTTCTCATCTTTACTGCTTATAAAGCAGATATTGAAGGATGTAATATCTATCAGAGTGCAAAAGGATTCCCAAATCTGAATCCCAGAATTCATTTGGGCTCCCTCCATGTGATCTCTGTGGTTCTCCCATTCTTAAGTAAAGGGAAGGAGGGTGAGAACTGTTTGTAACCAAGTTTCCCCAAATCACCAATCTGGGAACTGAGAGAAGGAGGCCTGGGGGGTAAGGTGGGGGCGGACAGGGATGTTCTAAAAGCCTTCTCCACTCTGAGGAAGAATAAGCAATAAGGTGCTTATTCCCTCCCACCCCAACCCTAAATAAGTCTCTCCTTTAGAATTACCCTCCTATCACCTCTCCTCTCCTTATCTCCTTCCCTATCTTGGCATTCATTTTTCACCACTGTTTTTCCTCTTCTGCAATCTAATTCAGTCAGTAGAATGGAACATGATGATACTCTATTCACTGCCTTTTAAAAAACTGCCTCACATAACTCAAAGATCATTCAGCTTTTAATCCCAGAAAAGATTGTACATGATACCCTCATAAACAGGGACGAGGAAACTGTGGCCTGTCTCTGCATGGAAAACTGTATTGGAACACAGCCGCACCCATTCCTTCCTATTGCCTGCCTGCTCCAGGCCACGGTGGCAGAATTATGAAGATGTGACAGAGTGTGGCTCTTTTACAGAATGTTTACCCTTTGTAGAAGAAAATTGCCAATCTCTAATCTAAAATACTGATAAATTTCTGAATGCACTTCTTTAACGTGTCTTAGCAGCCTTTATCATTTGTTCATTCTCAATAAAAACTGTATGTCAAGTCACGAAAATAGCATGGTTGTAATATGAAGGATTTTGCCTCTTGTAAAATTGTTTCTAGCCTTGCATATTTCTGGGAAAACATCAAGGAGAATGTGTGTGTGTTTTGAAGGACTGAAGGAAGGATAGAAGCTGACTCTGGTATTTGGCATCCATTGGTGACAGGGGAAGGGAACAGATGATGTAGGGGCCAGGGACCAGGGACCCTTGGAAGGAAAAAAAGAATAGAGAAGCATTAGGGGCATCCAGGGCAGTTACACCAGCAGAGATCCACCCTTGAAGATCTGCAGTATCTCAGAGAACAGATTCCTCCCACCTAGGTTCCCTTCCACTGGAACCTTCCATCAGACCACAAGGATGTCAGGAATCTGGTTCTGCTCCCAGAGTTACTACCAGGGAGACCTTGAGCAAGTCAGTGAGTGCCTCAGCCCTTTCAGGGGTTCACTCCCTGTAAGTTAGGGTGGGGAGGGGAGGAGAGGGTGACTGTCTTACTGTGCCTTACATAATACAGCATTGTCAAAAAAACTTTACAAAATGTAAAGAACTGTGGAAAGGCTAGTTGGTTTTGTTATTCTTTTTCAAAAAGCTGACTTGCAAATGAAAATTTTGAATCTGTTTGGCGTGTAAATTAGAGTTAACTGATGTGAAATGAAGTGTTTTAGTTTTCAAACCTTTGTCACATCCATCTTTACATATTATAAAAGTATGGAACTTTCATTTGGGTTATAAAAATTATAATAGAAACCCTGAATTTTTTATATGATAAAGTCATTCCTTAGTAGGAGGGAGAAATTCAAAAATTAAATTTTACTGTGACCTGTCCTTTTCTGTTCATTGTTTATGTAGTTTTCATTTTGTGCCTTTGTTTATAGAGAATAATCTGGCAGATGGCATTTTTCCCTGTAATCAGTTCTCACCCTATCTGAGTCATCGCCAGACATGGCATTTCAGTAAATAGTAATCCTACAGTTGCCTCCAGGCACATGTGTTATATGCTGTCAAGAACAGTGATTGATAAGCTTCTGGTTATTCAAGCAACAGGGAGAAATGGAGAAAGTTCTGTAGAGACAAATACCTTCGAAAGAAAAAATGGCAAAAGCAGCACAGACTTTGTGCTGGATCATTTAGCCAGATACAGTGTTTGAGCGGCTATCGACAGAGCAATGATCATTTTCAAAAGTAAAAAGTGTTCCTTGATTAGATGTATTCCATCTTGGGGAATACAGGTTTTTGTCTAGGCATCAGACATGTGAGTTATTAAACACCCCTTGCCCTCCTTGGTCAGAGGACTCTTGCACCTTGGCACACACGCTGCCTATAATCATGCAAGTAAAGTGCTTGCTACATCTGTTTTGGAACCTTTAGAGAGGAGTTAATGACTTTATCCGGGACTTTCAGAGACAAGGTGGGATTTTTAAGAATAAGGCCTTCCTTGATGTGCAAGTAGTTTTCATGATTGTTTAAACAAATCAAGGTAGCTATTTAACATCTTAGATATAATAATAGGTTAATCTTTTCACTTATAACAGGTATTAACTTTATTCTATTGATAATATTGATTTTATACACCCCAAAGTTCTTTTGCTTGAGTTTTAAAAAAAAACATTATTGACAGGGCCTTGCCTGGTGGTGCAAAGGGTCAAAGTGCAGCACTCAAGCTAGCCTTAACAGCTTCAGTGCAAGTTTGATCCCTGCCCCCAGAGGTGATCCACCTGGCACGGAAGACCTCTCCTATCCCGCTGTTGTTCCCTTCTGCAGTGTACTTCATCAATCTGGCTCTTCTGCTCCCCACTCTGTCTCTGGTGAATCCTCTCATTGCCCCTGCACCTCTGGCCTGCACCCCAGTTCTGTATGCACAAATAAATAAATCTTTAAAAAAATTATTGACATTTGAAATAGTTTAAAATATGGATTACAAGTAACAATACAGCATAGTGATAGTTAATATGGTTGCCTTTCAGTTTCACAAATATGTTTTAGGAAAAGGAACTAACTATGCTGAAATACAGATTTTTATTAGATACCACAGAGTATTTTGGCACAGATTTATAAACTGGAAACTATAAAGAGAGGTTCACTTCATTTATTCAGCTAGGATTTATTGAATACTGATGATGTGGTGGGTCTTGCCTGAGTAATAATAATGTTTTATCTTAAATAAAGTATTTGGTTATTACTTCATGACTTAGAATTAAACAGAATATTATTTAATCCTTTAAAGTTTTCATGAGATATTCTTTCTTGGTATTGACCATTGGTAAAGTAAACTTGTTTCCACGGAAACAAGACTTACTTGTTATCCTCAATTAAGACTCATTACCTTCCCTATACCAACAGATTCATCACTTTTATTTATTTTGTAAAAATTTATTTACTTATGTTTACAAAAACTAAGGTGTAGATCAGAGGTGTGGGGGATGGGAGTGAGAGGGATCTGCAGAGACAGAATGGGGAACAGAGCAGGCAGATGTACTGAAATACACTGCTGAGGGGAGCAGTAGGCAACACAGGAGAGGTCTGCTGAGCCATGTGGGTCAGCTCCCTGGCCAGGGATCAAACCCTTGCTTCAGTGGCTGGCTGACAACTTGATAGTGCTGAGACTTTAACCCCCTGCACCACGAGGGAGGCCCTGGATTTGTAACTTTTAATGCCTTGCTTAGCCAAGTCATCATCTATGAATTTTGCAATCGTCCCTGTGGTGTGCATTCCTGAGCTTGCTTACTTCAGGGGAAGAGTAGTCTACAAATTACTAAACTGACCAGTCGTTATGCTTTCAAGAAGTAGGGTAATTGTTTCTTGACATACTATGTGTTAATCATAGACCGTTAGTGATAATTGATAAGCTAAAACAGGCCATTAACAAATTTAATTGTGCTTATACTTACCTATGTCTGTACTGTGTCTTTGGAGCCAGGCTAGCCATCAACTTCATTTAGTAATAACCACCCAGGCACCAACCTTATAAAACAAAGGTTAATATAGACTATGTTCATTGTTCTTTCCTGCTGTGAAGATGCTTTCACATTTGATCAATTATTATGTACAAATACACACACACATATATATACTCTGAGGCAGATCTAGAGATATAAACAAATGCCTGTAAAAAAGAATAAGCCTAATTAAAAAAATAATTTGGAGGACAGTTACTGATAAGCATTTTTAAATTGAAAATAATTTGCCTTTTCTCTTATCATAAATTTTCTAGTTTATTTGTAATATGACTTAATTATAAGATATGAACTTACTTGATTTTTTCCCCATGTAGACCTATAAAGCAGGATAAGTGTATGGTTCAGAATGATTTATTATACCTCTATAAAATCACTGTTTTAAAAAAACTAATTATTGATGCTACCATAAAGGAAGCAATAGTTGTGTCCATAATGTGAAACACATAGCACATAGTAATGAAAGACATTTCAAATAAAACAGGAGACAGTTTAGCCTCAATAACATGGTTTTTTGTTTTTGTTTTTTTTTCTTCTGTTCTATAGGAGATACAGCAAATGAACAAAGAGCAGCAGCAAGCGGTAAAACTTCAGGAGTAGAAAGTAACCTACCTTTGGAGGTAAGTGTAACTGGATTAATCCTCTGGGGGTGCAACTGAAAAAGTCACCATGATCATATGTTTTAAAATATTTTCCTGTGAGGATGTATGGTAATTTCTGCGTTTGCTATGTAGACAGATGCCTGTTTATCAAGAAATAGGTGCTATTTTGAAAAGTCAGGTTGTCATTTCAGCTAGTGACTTCCCAAGTGCTATGCTTTAGCTCCTACTGCTGGAAATGGAAGCTTTCTGTTAAGAGAGCTTATGCTAAAAAAAATTGAGCTATCTTAATGGAATGATTATTTTCTAATACCCTGGGGTAACTAGACAATTATAACCTTGGAGAAAGTTTTGAAAATAACCTATTTTGCTATTTCTGCCATCAAAGTGTACTCCTTATCATTGTTAGGCAGAAAGACTAAGGGTTGTATTCTTGTCCATGTGAGAAAATGACGTGTTTATAGAGGGTACTTGAAAATGTTGTTGGGATGCTCTGTTCTAGTGTATGGAAATATACTACTATTGAATAACTAACACACTTTTAAGACTTGGGGAACGTTGCTTATCAGGATGGAAGAGCTTTAAAAATCTACACAGTGACATATCTCTACTTAGATTCAGTGTAGCACGTGTATTCTGTGAGTTGCATAGAGCAAGAGTAAGGCTGGGGACCTGGCCTGGCCTCTGGTTTCATCACAGTATCCCCAAAGCCTAGCACAGAGTAGGCAATCAAAAAGATCTTCTAAAAACTTAATGTCTTCCATTTTTGCAAGCATTTAGTGAGTGTTGACCATAAGTAGCATCTTTGATAGGAAGTAGAGGGTGAAGATTGGGAAGGAATCATCAAGTTGGTTTAGAAGTCATCTGTGATAACTTGGGTTTTATTGCTTGGTTAAGTCATTCACTAGAAATATCTGCAGAGCTCAAATTATATTTGACAGTTGATTTGCTTTAGAATCCAGAATGTTAGGAAAGAAGCTTTGACGATTTGATCCTCTAAGATTTGAACAAGCTGAGTATTGTGTGGTTTTGCCATCTCTCCATTATACAATCAACTTTTAATTTTAATTTAAGACAGGATTTCTGTACTCATGCTGTAACAGATGTTTCAGAAGTACCCTCTGTTTAACTAGGTGCTGGGCACCAAGAACAGTGCATGATATCAGAGAGCTTATTTAGATAGCAAAAAAGAAAATGGGATACCACAGTTAAACCACAGTATAGCATTCTTATATATTAATTATATTTATAACAATAAAATAACTTTCACAGGCTATGTGTGATTTGCTACAGAAAAGTCAATCATTTGCCTCATTAAGTGTCTAACATGGAATTTGTTTTCCTCTTCTTTAAAGATCCAAAGCCAAAAGCATGCTGGCTTCCACCCCTCCCCATACTGTACCTTGATCAGCCAAGAGGAGTCTGCTTGTCTCATGGTTTTAAAATTTTATGTAAAGGCTGATGACTTGGAGTTTGAATCCATCTAGACCTCTCCCTGGTCTCTAGACTGTATTCAGCTGCCTGCAGCATGCTCTTTCATTCACAAGTATCTAGGCAGCTCTGCCTTTACTTGACCAAAGAATGATTCCAGATCTTACCATTCTGAAGTTTTTACCATCTGTTCATAGCACTGCCCTCTCAAAAATGGATTAGAATCAACATCCATGAAGTGTCTGCCCCTGGCTCCTCTCTTTCCCTCATATTCCACATCTCAATACTCCACATCCCATTTCTCAGTAAGTTATGTCACCTCATCCTCTGTCTCTAAATTCTGACCATTTCTTCTTTTTTTTTTTTTTAAGATTTATTTATTCATACAGAACTGGGGTACAAGCCAGAGTTGCAGGAGCGGTGAGAGGCTTCACCAGAGATAGAGTAGGGAGCAGAACAGGCAGATTGTCGAAGTACACTGCTGAGGGGAGCAGTGGGCGGGTCAGGAGAGGTCTGCCGCGCCATGTGGGTCACCTCCGGGACAGGCGGGAATCGAACTCATGCGGAAGTGGCTTTAGCTTCTCAGTGCTGTGCTTTAACCCGCTGCGCCACCAGGAAGGGCCCTCTGACCACTTCTTAACATCAGAGCTGCTAGAGCTCTCATCTAGCCCTCACCTTCACTGGAACTCTGCCTCCTCCTTCTCCCTATATCCATTCTTTACACAGCAGACAGAAAAGTAAATCAGAATGTATCACGCCTTGGCATCAGTTCTGCTGGCTACCCACTGTAACTAGAATAAGTGCGAAAGTTCTTTTACAGTGGGTTACAAAGAGCTCCACGTGCTCTCCAATCTCATTTCTCTCCACACCCCCAGACTTTACATCCACCACCAGCAGCTACTTTTCTGTCCTTTGACCATATTAAGCTCTTTTTCCCCTCACCTTTGTATCTCCCACATTTTCTTTACTAGAATGTCATTTGACCACCTCCTTATTCAGGTCTTCGTTTAAATGTCACTTTTCATGACTACCTCACCAGTGATTTGTCACAGAGCCCTGTTTTATTTTCTCCATCAAGTTTATCAATATCTTAGAGTATTCATTTGTTTACTGTCTGCCTTCCCTGACTAAAACAAAGACAGAATTGCTTAGAATAGTGTCTGGTACATAGTAGGAACTCAGTAAATACCTGTAACTGATGATCCAGGTTTCATTTAATGCCATCCCCCATCTTTCGTAAAGGCCTAAAAATGTCACTCTGACTCATTCTTGTCACACTACTCATCAACTCTATCAAGCCCTATAGATTCTACTTCACAAACATGTTCCAAATGTGGCTTCTCATATTCCAGTGAGATCCTCCTCTTTTCAATAGATTGCTGTAAAATGAGCACTTTCTTTCCCAAATCCCTTTCTAAACATGAATGGCAAGTTGTATAACGTCTGGCCTGCATATCTTGAAACCTGCAGAGTAGAGTTCCCACTCAAAACCCTGTTTAAACATCCCCTCCTGTATGACTCTTTACTCTGTTCCCCCCACCTCTTAATACTATTGTGACTTTTATGACTTCACTATGGCCTGAGGTAGAAACAATACCTTAATTAGCTTTTATAATCTCAGTAACTAATATGCTATATGGTTAGATACATAGTGTGACACAAATGCCATGTCTGATTTCTGGATGGGTAAGTTAATAATGAAGTGGTCCTCTGTGAAGGCTGTCTTATAAGTAAATCTCTTCATTAAATTCTGTTTTCCACCTTCACTGTAATCTTATAGTCAGTTTTTTTTTCCCCTTGCTGCAAAAAAGAAAAATTGTCTTATATATTTTTTAGGCATTATCCATAAAAGTCTAATTTATGTGATTTTTGGCACCCAAAGTGCTTGAGGGAAAAAAAAGTGTAATGCTTACGGTTGTTTAAAAACTATATATCTGATTAAGAGCTGTAAGTATTGTACCTAGCAGGAAGGTTTCCTCATTACTTTAATTTTTAATGGCTTTATATGAAATGTTGAAATATTATTTATAATGAGAACATATTTGGACAATTAGCATGGACTCCATAAAGCTTAAAATAACACCCTTAGTTGCCAAACTAACTCATTTTTCTAAGGATCTTTTAAAAAAAGTAACTTTTAGTCTATAAAATAAGTTTTTTGGTTAATTCAAACATTTAGATCATTTTCTGTTTCCAACGTTGAACATGGGATTGAGTAGGATATAAAGATATGTAAAACTCCATGACACTGACTTAGCAAATAAAAAGTTTTCAATCTGTTCTTGGAAAATCAGAAAATTCCCCAAGTCACTATAACAAAGCAGAATGAATAAGCTCTTTAAACTCCAAAACTCTAAAGGTATTTGAGATTTCAAAGAAAGGAAATATCAGGGAGTCAAAATAGACGAGCTTTGAACTACAAAGAAACTTTCTTATTCTTCATATAGCTATTTTTTATATGAGTAAGTTCCTGTGAAATGAAATTCTTCATTAAGACCATTTTTAAAAATTAAGCAAATCATGGTATAAAACGACACCATGAATCACAATGACAGATAAGAAAGAGTTAAAAAAGAAATGTAACTTGGCCTTGATTACACTGTCGTTTTAATGGCAGTTAAAATATTTTGTTAAGTATTCTGTGATATTTTCCTTACACTTTCTACCCCAAGAATACTTCAAGATGGTGTTCCCTTTCCAAGTATAGCCTCCCACTGACATCATGGAAATTCTAACATCTAGGTGAAATATAATTTGAGAAAAGGAGATCTGGACTGGACTTTAAGTTAATTTTTGTAGATATTTATGAGATATTTAAATATGTTTACCCAAATGGTTATGTGAAAAGCAGATTATTTATTTACACTGTCATTAGAGGACATTTTACTTGGTGGAACTGAATATAATAGAGCTCTCATTCCAGGTATTAATGTTTTTTCCTATCTTCTTGCTCCCAAAGTATGGTCATTTTAACTAGAACTTTAGAAGCATCCTTGAACTATGTAGTCATTGAATGTGGTTTCTTTTAAGTTATGTTTTATTCTATGTTTTCAGAACCATTAGGACTTTTTAACTGGATTCATCATGTTTTGATGTATGGGGTTTTGGTGTATAGGGTTCTGGTATATGGAGCTGTGTAGTATAGGAGTGACTTCAGTAAGTCCATGCAAACTTATTAAGATTTTTAGACTTTTATACTTGGGGCAAATGTTATAACTTGGAAGTAGTTATCTAATTGGAGGATCATCCATACCTTCTGTTTCTTTTTAATATTTCCTTTTTGGGTAAAATTTGGTAGTGAGTTGGAATGGCATTGCAGCTACTTACTGCCTCCTGCTAAACCAGGAGCCTGATAAGTTTAAGAGGGTAAACATACAGATTCATGGAGGGCCTGGTTTTGGGTCTTTGCCATTATGACTCATCTCTTAAGGGAATAAACAGTACAAGTAAGCAAGTCATTAGTCATTATTTTCTAATCTTCAGTTGTGGCAAGTGTTTTATGTTGTGAAACCTAGAACCATATTGCTATTCATTTACAGAGGACCTGGTTGTTGTTTTTTTTTAAAGATTTATTTATTTATTCATATAGA